TTTTCATAGGTTGTAGGTACCCATTAAGATCTTCAACTACGAAGTTTGAAACAATTCGGGTGAAGGTACCGTTATATGGGGGCTATACGAAAAATTGAGCCGACATTTAGGTACTTAACCTGCCTACTGCCAAATACATATGTGTGCCAATTTTTAGCCTTCTATCTCAATTCGTTCGGAAGATGGCGTGACTACAACAGACAGACGGACATATAGACAGACATACACACAGACAGACGGACATCGCTAAATCGTATTAGAATTTTACACTGATCCAGCCAGATCCACCAGACAAAGCTAATATACCCTCCATAGAATGGTGGAGGGTATAAAAATGAAAATCCACTTCATTCGATGGATAATGGTATGAAAAAGAGTTAACTTTTCAGTCCACGCAGAATTGTCTTACAAATAATTTAAAAAAAAAAATTAACAAATTCTTATTAATTCTTAAAGTATTACATGAAATTATAGCTACAAATATTAATGTTTTTTTTTTCAAAAATGAATTAAATTTTCCAATATTATACATTGACTCTTCATATTAGTCTTCAATAGATCACATTAAATATATAATTTTAATTTTCCATTTTGTTTTTTCAAACAATAACACTTCATTTTTTTGTAACATTCAGTATATATAATAATAATTGTATTCATACATTATAGGTTGTTATGTATATAAATTTTGCAATAGCCATGGTTAAAAAAAAAGAACATTGTAGAGCTGTCATTAGCGAAATGTAATTTTCGTTTTAATTAAATTTATTTTTGCATTTGCTTTTCGTTTAAAATACCAGTCGTGACAATTTTAAAAACACATCGAAAAATCATGTTTGTATATGTAAATATTTCGTAAATTTTCTTATTTTTTCATTCCATTTATATGGTACGGCGGCGTATCTTTTTTCATTTTGTAATATATAATTGTATATTTTCATTTTTCATAGGTAGAAACCTCCATAAATTGTTTGCTTTTCAAAAAATGTATTGTGAATTATGTATGTGTGTATGTATAGCGTTATTGAATATTTTTTGTTCGATTTAATTGATTTTATATAAAGTGTTTTGTTTTGCATAAATTTCATTTATCTAATTGTTTAATGAACACGCAGATTTTATGTTTGAATCGATTTGGTTTTTATTCCGATGACTAATTAAATTGACACATTGAATAGCGTTGTTTACCATCTATGTAAATGCATAATGACTTTGCGTTTTGTTTGTATGTGTGATTGTTTTATATATATTTATGAAATTCGCATATAATTTTTGTTTATAACATCAACAATGAATTTAATATTTTTTTTTAATTCTTCGATTTGTGTTTGTTTTGTGATATGTCTTGAGCGATATTTGTATTTATTTACTAATGATTTCAAATGCTCGGGTATATGTTACGATTTGAATGACCTTCAAATGGTATCTACTTCCATATTTACTATTTTCTAGCTTTAATTTTAGAGTAAAATAAACCAATTGATATATGTTTGTAATTTGATGAATATAAGGGAATATGCGGTGGAAACTAATGCAAATCGATTTGTAGATTCACAATTGTGTATAGTTAAGTTTCACAGTTAATTATATTAACATCTTCTAGTTTAATTAACATTTGTTTAAAATTAATTTACAATTTTCCAAAAAAAGTTTGGCAAAAAATAAATCATTTAAATCGATTTGCAATGATTTCCAACACATACCCATATACGTTTTAATACTTTCACTATAAGACTTGATCATTTCAAAACATTATAATTACTATATATATTCATTAACTATGTTTGTTACACTTGGTTTAAGCAAAATTTATTTTACCTACTTTTTTTTCTGATTAAATTTTGGTTCCAATAATTATTGTTTTCGTTTGGCTTTGCCGGCAAATCAATAATTTAATTCGAAAACATCAAATATGAAATTTTAGTTAAATTTTTAATTTGCCGAATGATTGAAGATTAAGCTCTATTAACAATAATTTACGTATGTATATATGTACATATCAATATATATTTAATTATAAATTTATTTTAATTATTGTTTGTTACCAATTGTGCGTATTTGCATTAATTTAGATTTATTTTCAAAATATTTGAACATTTTGTTTATTAATATATTATTCAAAATCAAATGGAATTCAAAAATATGAGGCATAAAAATAATTTAAACGAGGTTTTTTGAATACTGTTATAATTGGTTACAAATTTTGTGCTTTGAGATTTACCAATTATCTCAATATTTTATATTTTTATTATAATTATATCATAAAGAATTAAAAGAAAGAATTACATTTAAACAAGATTTTTTTGAAAAGTTTTGAATTTGCTTAAAAATTGTTAAGTAGATTTATCAAATAATCTCTTAACTCAGATATAGTATAGACTTCCAAATATTTGAACGTTTATACATTTTAACATATTATTCAAAATCATATGGAATTTAAAAAATATGAGGCATAAACATAATTTAGACGAGGTTACGATTGGTTACAAATTTTCTAGATTGAGATTTACCCATTCTTTCATTTTTTTACATTTTGCAATATATTAATATCATACAGTATTAAAAAAATTATAATACAAGCCAAAGAATTAAAATTTTAACAAGATTCATTTTTAAAGTTTTGTAATTGCTCATATTTTTTTGAGTAGATTTATCAAATAATCTCTTTACTCCGATATAGTATAGACTTAAAATCGATATTTTCCTGTTTTAATCTTATTTCTAAATAACAATATATTTCAGTAGTCCCAATGGTGTTGTATGTGTTGATCGTGATTTAAATGATGACTGATCTGAAAACAGCTAAATTAGCAAAAATTATAAATTAGAGTAAAATTGTCTTGCTATGGTTGTGTGTTGCATCCATGGAAATAATAATGAGATCTGAAAGTGTAGAAAAAGAAATATAAATTAAAATAAAATAAATAAATGTATATAAATATTTTTTACTTTTACCAATTAATTTCTTTGTTTTTTTTTTTTGGAATTCAACTCTGGGCGGATTTTGGTTTCATTTGTAATGTTGAAAATAATGTGGATTACAACTTTTATAAAATCAAAATTAAGGTGGTCGTTATATCCATGTTGATTTAGTACTGAAAAGTCCTGCAACATTATTTTTAATCCGGTGCATAAAAAACGGTACTATTTTCTATGCTACATGTGAGTCTATGTGATGAATTTGATTTTTTGAAGAATTTATGTGGAATTGTCTTTAATGATACTCTTGGACAATATTCTTCTCGTAAAAGTATTAAAACTAGGCATTCAAATCTAGAGATAAATTCTAAAATTTGAATGGATCTTCTTGAGTAGAAATATGGAAAGTTGTATAAACGTAGAAGTCCCTATGACCGGTTTGGACGTCCGGCGTTCAATAACTTTCTTTGAAGAAACTTGCCAAGCAATACACATTAAGACCGTGAAGATAACGAAAGTTTTGAGCAAATCGGCTAACAACCATCTTAGATGCAATCAATTCCAAAATCAAATTCAACATTTCGAATAAAACTTCAGGGACTTCAGCAATTTGTTTAACTTCTAAAGAAAACGCCTCATTGATATTTAAAATTTTGGCCCTTTGTGGGGAAGGTACCAGAAAGAGTGGACCGGTATATCCTATCTTCACAGCAGATCTTTTGTTAGTACAAATAATGGGATGTGTGAAATATGAAGACAACCGGATGCTTATTTCAAAACGTTGACCCTTTGTGAGGGAGATACTAAATCTATCTCTATTTTTATAACAGATCTAAATGTAATCGGATGTTAATTTTGCGTTTTATGAGCTTCATGGATAATTGAAATTTTGATCCTTTGTAGGGGAGGTACTAGAAGGAGTTGACCGATATATCCCCTTTTCACACCAGACCTTGGGTTAATGATGTGTGTAATTTGAAGACAGTCTCACATCACATTTTATAAGAGTTATATTTATTCAAAATTGTGACCATTTGTGGGGGAGGTACTTGATGGAATGGACCGATATTGTTAATTATGGCACCTAACCCAGAGCTGATGCAAATATTAGGATTTGCAAATTTGAAGTAAAATCGGATTTTCCTTTCTTTCTCTGTGCACTAAAATATTTTCTTTGAAAATTTTGACCTTTTATGGGAGAAGGAGTGGAACGATATTATCCATATCCGAACTCGATCTAAGTTTGACAATATTTATACGATGTACCAAGTTTGGACCAAATCGGATACTCCCTTCGAGAGTGCGCATCAGCCAGGCAGACAGACAGACGGGCGGACATCGCTAGATCGACTCCAAATGTCCTGAAACGGATTTGGTCTAAAAGAGATCTTGGGCCTAAAACCGTTATTTTGATGAGACACTTTTTGGCCGTATCAAATAATACAGGAAATATGTACAAAAGTTTTAAAATTCCTGCAGTTCAGGACAATAAAAAAATAACTCAAAAATACAGTTTTGTGAATTTCCGAACAATGCACCACAAAGTTACAAAAATTAGAATGTTATTATTTTACATTTTATAATCACATAAAGTACAAACTGAATTTCTTTTGGGTTTCTGATTAATTAAAAAAATCTTGATTTTACAATAATATTAAAAAAAAAGAAAAATATTTTGTTCTGAATAAAAAAAATATATCTTTTTTTTTAAAAAATCCAATTTTGAAAATACTAATAAAGTACAAAGTGAATTCTCCTTCTTTTGGCTTTTTGATTGATGAAAAATCTTGGTTTAACAAGAATATTTGAAAAAAAAAATTAGAAAAAATGTTTAGTTCTTGATAAAAAATATTTTTTTAAAATTCCAATTCAAATAATTGTGTGTTGAAAAAAAAATTATTTATATTGAATGCCCTGTAAATTGTTATGTTTTAACAGATTTGTAGAGTAATAACATGTTTTATTAATTAAATGAATATAACAATCTGACTGATCTGGAAAAAAGAACAAAATTTTTCTTACAAAAACAGAATAACAGTTGCAAAAAGCTTTGAGCTTTAGATGAAAAAAAAAAAAATCAATTTGTAGGTTTTTTTGTTTAATAAATTTTTATTAAGTTCTCTTCAGTTTAAATTTTTGTATAACGTTTTCTTTAAAAACTTCAGCATTCAGCAAAATAATAATAATTATAATTATATTAATTAATTAATAATTAGTGTATGTTGGGATATTACTTAAATGGAAAAAAAAAATAATTGGGATTACTAAAAACTATAATTTCTTTTCTTTTCATTTCTCTTTTTGTTGTTGTTGTTTTAATTATTTTAATATTTATAAATTAATTAATGTATATATAGTAGGCATATATAATATAGTTTTTTTTCATGACAATTTTTTTAACATTTTAAACAACTTTTCATTTTTTTTTAATTTGAATTATTTTAACATTAGCTAAAAATTAAAAACAAAAAATACATTAATTAAATAAATCGTAGATTTTTTATTAAGATTTTTCACTTTTCACCCAGTCTCGCAATGAGATACTGAAACAGTTTCAAACTGTTGGATTTTTATTTTGTTCCTTTTAGGGTGGATTTTTGTTTTTATTTATTTTTTTTTCTCATTAATTTAATTGTTTTTTTTTTTAATTTTAGTAACAGCATAGTTTCCATTTTTTGTTTCTTCCGATATTTATTTTTTTTTATTAAGAATTCCCAAAATAATGTTAATAAAGTTTCCGTCGTTCTCCACTTGGAATACTTTGTAGACATATGTCGATTGAACAAATGCATGACAAAACATAAGCAGTACAACATATAAACTTATTTTTTTTAAAAATAGCAATATTTAAAAAAATGGAGGGTATTTTTGTTTAAATGAAATAAAGAATTATCATACTCCAAAGCAAAATAATAATATTTTTTAATATTTAAAAAAAAAAATAAAGACAAAAATATATAGTAAATCTTTTTGTTTGATAAGCTTAAAAAAGACGAAAATTAATTATGCATTAAACATTGAAAATATATAGAAGAGAATGAAACTAATTTTATAATTATAATTAAAAAAATATAGATGAAATCACACAAATAAGAGACCTTTAGGAAATTTGGATGGGGGATTAATTTGGGGAAATTGTGATCACAAGGAAAGTGGGATAATAAAACATTAAAATTGTTGTTTTGTTTTTTAGATTGATATGTTATTTAAATATGAAAGGAATTTGTGGGACGATGTTGGTGGGATGCAATCAGGGGTAGGAGAGAGATAGAAAGTATTTTAAAGTACATACTGGTTTTCTTTCTTCTTTGCTTGTATTCCTTTGTTGTTTTTTCTTTCTTGTATTATCTCAATAACTAATTCATTTTAATTATTTTACACTTTAAACTAAAACTTGTTTAGAGGGTTTTTGTTTTTCTTTTTCATTACCATTTGTTTTATGTATGAGCAGAAATTTGTTTAGAAATGATCTTAAAATTTGGCCCTGGGGATATTTATTTTTTTTTTTCATTTGAGAAGTGTAATTTGTATTGGAAGTAAGTGGGGATTTTTCTTATATATTTCTTTTGTATATACTTTAGTTAACCAGCTAAAGTTTGTTATGTAGCTAAACTTTGAATTTTATTTGAATTCAAAATGTCTTGAACAGAACATCTTGGGGTACTAATGTTTCAATAACTAAATATTTTGGGAGAGTTGCTTTTGAATTACATTGGAATTTTTCGATGGAGCTCAACATGCTTGTCTTTATTTTAAGTACATATTTTACCAATTGGAATCAAATTTGTACACACATTCAATCCAATCTAACGCCATATTTGACCATGCTATCAAATTTCATCCTTAGAAAATGTTTGCCTAAAAATAGGTTCTGCCCAAGCTCAAGTTATTTTGCCCTTTCTTTATATCAGCTAAATTCCGAATTTAATTTTAAAATGCCATGAACAGGACATATCTTGGGGCACTAATGCCACACCAACTAAAATTTTTTTGAAAGCTGCTTTTTTATTTCCAAATTCCTTTTTGGAAAATTATGTTTGGTATACCCAATATTATTTGAATTTTTATTGAAGATTATCCTTTGCCCTATACACATCTCAAATCGATGGAGTTCAATATGTATATCAATATTGTTTAAGTAAATAATTTTACGCAGTAATTGAAATCAAATTTAAACACACAATCAATTTAATTATACAACATGTTTGGCTATATCTCAAATCTCATCCTTTTGAAAATGTTTGCCTGAAAAGAAGTCCTGGCCAAGTTCAAGGTAATTTTTCCTTTCTTTAAATTAGCTAAATTCCAAATTTAATATAAATTCAAAATTCCATGAACAGAACACCATTGGGGTACAACTATCATAAAAACTAACCATTTTCAGAAATCTGCTTTTTTATTTCGAATTACATTTTACGCATTTTTTTGATATACCCTGTATTTTTTGATTTTTTTTGAAGAGAATCATTTGCCCTATACGGATCTCAAATTTTTTGCAGTACAACTTGCATATCTCTATTTCGCATCCCTTTGCACATGTTTGATTGAAAAGAAGTCCTGCCTAAGTTCAATGTCTGGAAATATATATTTTGAGTAAATATTAAAAAACCAACTTCTTTAAATGAGTGTATGCCTAAGATATATGTCTAAAAACTGAGCATTTCGGAGGACTCCCACCTATTTTTGGATTATGTCTGGAATATATATTCTGAGGAAATAAAAAACCATTTTACTGTCACGAACGTAGAAATCGGATGTGTCTCAAACAATTTGAATAACTTCATTTTGAAGCAAGAGGCTCCAATGGCTTATGGTAACAGATGTGATGAACAGTACGATATGAAATTTTAAGAGACTTTATTTAAAATAATAGTTTATATTTTCAAAATAGATTCAACTTTGATTTAGAAAGAAATAATAAGTTTTCAAAATAGCCTAAAATCGCTATACTTGGCAGATTTAAAAATGGATTCAAATTAAAATTTTAATTCAAAATAAAAGTTGTTGAGGAAATGGGCCCTAGGATTCGGTTTTATAATATATAGATTATTTTGAGAAATTCGGAATGTTTACGTCACGGGCAGTGTGAAAATCAAGAACATTAGATATATAATTAGAATTGATTTAAAATATGTTGGAAAGCCCATTTGGACCTAAATCAATTTTTGTAGTTTTTTTAATGGTACCATACAGATCAAACCGGTGGCATTTGCCCTTTATTTATGTTCTCTGTTGTAGTAATAGGTATTCTTTAAGACAATTGCACACAAAAGTTGTGCTCTACTTTACCCGCTAAATTTTATCCGATGGTCATCCAAAATGCAAGACTTCTGCACTGTCCTAAACTCTAGCCTTATGCGAAATAGCGTGATGATTGGTCTTAAATTGTGATCTGTACAGCTACTGCAAGACTAGGAATTTTTTAAGTTTTTGGTCCGTTACATTCCCTAAATATGGAAGATGCCGCGATGGAAGGACGATAATTATGCCTGTAGCGTGATTACAAATTTACATGGACAGATGGACAAACGAACGGATATAATAGAAGATCAATATGTGATATCGTGGATCTTGAACTAATATTTCGGGTGCTACAAACTTTTTTGAACTTATAATACCCCCATCACATAGTTTTGTAGGATTTAAATATTGGCACTACATTTTTCAATCAGACACAAAAGGATTCTTACAAGAATGGTACGAGGTAAAACTTATCTTTAGCATAACATTTTTGAAGTGAACATATCAAATTGAATACTCTAACTTCGAAGAGGGTATTATTGATTTTAAAATAGTATTTTCATGCTAGGGGGTCCAATCAAGAAAGATAACTCAAAATTACATTTTCGTAAAATAGAAATGGGGTCTTTGGGAATGATAAAAAACATGGATTTTAAATATAAAATATTTGTATAACTAAATGGGAAGGTTTTGAATTTCTACTAGGCATCCAATTACTTCCAATTTATAATTATGTGCTCTTCATTACATGTTGATATTGGTTCGATGTGTGTTCATTTAATTTGTATCATGTCTAGAATTCAATTTACATTTGCATAAAATGAAGATTGGGTCTCTTGGAATATATATAAAAAACTGATTTCAAATATATATGATATTGTTTTAATTGAATGGGAAGAATTTGAATCTCTGCCGGAATTTAGTAGTACATATATTTTCAGTTTATAAATTATATGCTGCTCATAACATATTGATATCTTCGATGTGTATTCATTTCATTTGTATTGTTTTAGCTCATTTGAATCTTCCAATATTTTTCATTTTGTTTTTCATGGGTAACTATTTTGGATTTTATTTAACTTTTCCCTCCCTAATAAAGGATATTAAAGAATGAAATTTTCCCTCAATAAAATGTTTCCACATAATATGCTGGACAGGTTTAAAACTCCCCCCAATTTGCTGTCAACCGCAAGGTTTCTGATTTACCCAATTTTTAGGTAAAAAAACTAATTTGATTTCCCTCTACTTTAAAATACTGGCTAATAAATCCCCAAATTTTTCACATCATCACCACTTTAATTTCAGTATCAGCCGTACGAAGAGGGATGATTACAAAAATTGTAAATTAAGAAAAGGCTTAACCCAAACAAAGTGAATGACAAATGTCAAACTTTCATCATTACGTTTCTTACTCCACAATACAAATACACATTCTTCTCTCATTATTTCTGCTAAATTAAATAGAAAACTCCCTATTTTTTCTTTGCTGGCCAATCACTCTAAACAAATTCTTCATAGGCTACACCGCCACCATCTGTACAACATAAAAAGTAACTAAAATACTTTTTTCTTTTCGTTAAATAATTTCTATAGTAATGCGTATAACTACTAATATTACTATTTTTATGGTTTTTATTAATGCTCGTTTTGTTCTCCCTATACTACATGCAACACAAGAAACGATGAAAGAAACTTTTGGCATTCCTTCGCGCCCTAGAGGCCCTTAGCTAACAGATAATACCCTGATCTAGACTCAAACCATTTGTGGCAGCGCCAGCACTCTTCACCACACCGTGATGGTGCAGATGATGATGGGGCGGATGGTGATGCGAGTGATGGTGGTGGTGGCCCGGATGATGATGGGAGTGGTGAGAGGACGAGGTGTTGTTGTTGTTGCTGCTGTTGGAACCACCACCATTGAATAGTAAAGCATTTGATGATGTTGTTGAGGTGTTGGTGGCATTGCTACTGGAACTGGTAAGACTACCATTGCTGCTGCTGCTGCCGCCTCCATTGATCAATGATTTGGTACTGTGGCTAAAGGGCGAGGCAACACCGTTCTTGTGTACCGCATTTGTTGTCACTGTTGCAGCTACTGCTGCTCCTACTCCTGCATTGGACGAGGGATGCCTGCATCCATTGTTTGCCGTTATTGTTGTAATGCCAGCCGCATTTGTTATTGCATTACAGGAATTACAATAAACACACTGTGTTTTTAAATTATTACTGCTGGCCAATAGCGGTGGCGGTATAGAAACAGGGCCAGCCGATGTTGTTGTTGTTGTACTGCCCAACTTCTTAACGCTGTGTATGGCCGTTATGGGCTCGGAGGCTCGTCTCAAAGCATTGTTGATGGTAATGGCCGTTGAATGCTGTGTCGGAGGATTCTGCAACGATGGTCTGCCATTGATGAATTTCGTTTTCGTTTCGTTTGTTTTCATCGTTGTGGTGTGGTTCGTCGTAGCAATGGCCGTTGGCTTAAGGCCGCCGCTGCTACCGTTCGTGGCAAATTCTGGTGGGTTCATGGGCTGTTCGCCACCCTCCAATTGGAATTTCTTCACTAAAGCCTTAACCGAGGTGGGAGATGTGTCCGAATTTGGTGCCTTGCGTATAACTTTGGGTGTAGTAGGAGCATCTGGGAAAAAAGAATTATGATTGTTGGTGGTGCCATTAGTAGTTGCTGCTGTTGTGGTTGCAGCTGTATTTGGACTAACAACACTTAGGGAAGCGGATGTGGAGGAATTCTGACATGCTATGGAAGCATGGGAGGGTAAAGTTATGGTGGCCACAATATTAGAGGGTATCATAGAAGAGGAATTGCCCATTGCTGTGGGATTGATGAGAATTGTTGCTGTGGTTGTGGTATTGGACTGTTGTTTTACTGTTAAATGGGGTTTCTTAATGCCACCGACGCCGCCTACGCTGCTGCCGCTGCTAATGCCATTGGTAGAGGGTGAAATTTTCTTGGTGGTCAGAAAGGTGTTTTCTTTATTGGAATCGGACGATTGGCGTCTGGCTGGTATGTGAAGAAACTGTTGTTGGTCCGGCGGCGGTGTTGTTGACATTGTTGACGATGTAAAATGTTGGTGTTGTTGTACACTGCTTAGGGGTATGGTAATGGCTTTTGTTGCTGCTGGCACATTATGGACCGCCGTGGTCTTTGTTGTGGCTGTGGCTGTGCCCAACGATTTGGGAGACTTTAGAAAGGATGACATTGTGCCATTTGTGCCTAGCTGGGATGAGGTCTTGTCATCGGAAATTTTGCCAAAACCATTTGAAGAGGACGCATGGCCATTGGTTAGGCCATTTGCATGACCATTGATGTGATGACCATTTAAATGATTCCTGGCATGGCCATTGGTGTTGGAGGTGCTTGAGTTGATTGTGCTAGATGAAGTAGTGTAACCATTGCTATGGCCATTTGTGTTGTTGTATTTCTGATAAGTGGTGGTATTAGTGTTGGTGTTGGTGGTGGTGGTGGTGGTGTTGCTGTTGTTCAATAAATCATCATCATCATCAACTTCCTCTTCTTCTTCGGAATTGTCTACACTTATTGCCTGGGGTTTATCTTTAACATTTCCAATTTCTTCATGTACTACCTCATGATGATCCTCAACAATGCTCTTGTGGGCTAAATCTACTTGCTGCTGCTGCTGCTCCTGCTCCTCTGCTGACACATTGTCAATGATGTCTTCTTCTTCGACAGCTACGGCATGATCATCGCTATCCAACTCCTCATCGTCAACTTCGTCATCTTCCTCATCGTCGTGTTCCAATTGCTGCTTATTGCTGAGTTTAGTATTGAAAATATGTCTATCGATGCTACATTCGTCTTTAAGCCAAATGTGTTCGAGACATCCTGCAGCAGTCATGCGATCTCTGTAACAAACAACAACAACAAATTAAATTTCAATTGCATAATTTTTTGGAAAATACAAACAAAAAAACGAAAACATACCCTGGCTTTATTCGCAATGCTTTGCGCATAAAATCAATGGCTGCCGATGAGACGCCTCCAAATAATTTATCCGGAAATGTTAGTGCACATTGTGATATATTAAGGAAGGTTTCCTGTTTGGTTTCACCGCCAAACGGTGAAAAACCCGTCAACAGGACATAGGTTAGAACACCCACCGACCAAATGTCGGTGGCCAGGGATAAGGGTTCATACTGTAGGACTTCGGGGGCCACATAATCGGGGGTGCCGACAATTTCACGTACATTGGTACCCTCGGTAACAACGCGTGAAATGCCAAAATCACACAATTTTAGACCATCTGTAATTTAGTAAAAAAAAAATTGTGGTTAATGGAATTGTTCCACTGGATGCCCAGGTGAGTGGCATACTTACCTTCAATACGTTCTCCGCTTAAAAGTATATTTTGTGGTTTTAAATCTAAATGAACAATGGATCGTTTGTGCAAAAATTGTAATGCTTTAAGTACTTCACGCATGCAAATGCGTGCCTGGCCCTCGTTCAGACACTCTTCGTTGTCCAGAAATGTTTGTAGTTCACCGCCAGTCGCTCTGCAAGGGAGAAAGAACAAGAAGATGTTTTGGTTTATTTGGATTATTAATTACAGAAAATAAAATCTGGCGAAAAATACTCACAAATCTAATAAAAGCGCTGTATCCGAACGTGATTCATGCACAGCATTTAATTTGACAATATTATCGGCATCATTACACAGCATGAGCACGGCTATTTCATGTTTGATTTCTTTATCGGACGATTGGGCACGTCTTCGCCGTTTCAGAAATTTCGCTGCAAAATGAACTCCAGAGTTTTTGTGTATCGCCCGGCGAACAGCGGCAAATTTGCCTCTGAAAGAAGAAAATAAAAAAATAGGAAATTAGTATAATTTTTTAAGTGTTAAATTTCTATTTTTTAATATTTTGTAGTGATTTTCGGAGGATTCGGTAGGCAAAAAGAGAGTAAAAAATTTCCCATGAACGCGTTCTTTTGCCTTAGGGTAACTAAAGCAATTGAGTCATGACAATTGATCTGAATCATCAGAGATAGCTTTAAATGAAATGGCTGTACAGGGAATTTTTCTTCATCTCATGATGGCTGGCTATGGCCCATGTGGATAAAAAATAACACAGTGCAAAACAAAAATAATTTCAGAAAAAATCCAGCTGGTTTTGAAAGTAGGGCTAAAAATAGAAAACACGTGTATTGGCGTTTAGAGATGGCAAATTACTCCCTCTTCCACATTTTTTAAAATTTTCCGATTAAGATTTCAGGGAATCTCTTGATTTTATGTATATAGTGTCTTCGGCAATATTATAGATACGAATATGAACATTATTTTGATCAGACATTTTAAACGCTAGAGCGAGTCACGAAAAAGGACTCTTTTTGGTTATTTTTTGAATATGTGGTCAAAAAACTCCATTTAAACGGGATCGTAGCAACTCAAAATATTTTTTGTTATTTTTTATAAAATTCTACACACGATCAAATCCGATTTGTGTTTTCCACAACCCAGACTGGCTATTGGACAGAGAAAATATAAGAAAATTTGAAACGAAATGGGTAAAAATGCAAAATTTTTATAAACAAGGATTTTTGTTAGCAAAAATGGATGATATTTTTTCATGGTATGTATTGAATATACAAATTTATTTTATTCAGAGACTCACAATGAAATTCGATCTATAATAATTCTTCTTTTGACAGTTTCTCCAAAAAATGATTTAAAAATTGGGATCTGGGCTTAGATAGAAAATATGTCATATTAACAATAAAAAACGTAAACACATAATTTTCCACTTTTAGTATTTAAGTTTGGAATGTAATTTTCTTGAAAACTATTGTATTTAGATACATGATTAATTCTGAGGTTTATAGTGAAATTTTGTTTAGAATATTTCTTCCTTTGACATTTTTTGTCTAAAACGGAATTTTATGTTATTTTCAGGCGTCAACTCGGAAAACGGTAGAGGAAAAGTTTATCCAAAAATTAGAAAGATTTTTTAGATTTCTTTAGCAAGATTGATTCATTTTTTTTTCGTTAAATAATGGAAATGGAGATTTCGTTTCTTTGGTAGCTTATAGTGAAATTTAGTGTAGAATATGTCTTCTTTTGGCACCTTCGGCCTAAAACGAAATGTTATGTCATTTTCAGTCGTCAACTCAAAAAAGGCCAAGAAAAAAATTACCCAAAAAAATTAAAAAAATTGGATATATTTTTGGTCTTCTGATGCACATATTTTGATATACAATAGAAATAGAGATTTCTTTTCTTTGCCGACCCATAGTGAAATTTCGTATAGAATATTTCTTCCATTGACACTTTCTACCTAAAACCAGATTTTATGTTACTTTGAGGCGTCAACTCGAAAAAAGGCCAAGGAAAAATTTATCACAAAATTTTGAAATATCATCGGTTTCTTTTTGGCGACAAACATTTTTGATATAAAATGGAAATAGAGATTTCTTTTCTGTGGTGGCTTATAGTGAAATTTGATGAAGAATATGTTCGTCTCTGACATCATCCTTCTAAAATGATGCTATGTTGGAGATTTTTGCATACACTCACATAAAGTAGGGTTTTAACCAGAAAACGTGTTTTTAATATATGTATGAATTCCTGGCGTTTTGACAAGATTTACACTTATGATGTCTTCTAGAACACATAGTAGAGTTTCATGACAAATAATTTTGTAGAATATTTTGACTCACTACGATCTCGTTCAAAGGAGTTTATAACCATATTTTCGAAAGAGAACCAAAAAGACCCATTTTTGACTCGGTTGAGGGCTAAGATTTCCGACCAAAATAATTCTCGTATTTTTATCCGCAATATTGCTGATGACACAATATACCCAAAATCAACGGATTCCAAGGAATTTTAAACCGAAAATATTAAAAAAAGTGAAAGAGGGGGATCTTACCCCCGTCAATTTGGGTTACTTTGCGATGCAAATTTTTAAAGACGCCGATAAAGTTGTTTTTTATTTTTTACTCTATCTTCATAATCTGCTGGAATTCCTCTGTATTATTGAATAGATTGAATTTTGTCGCTCAGTGTAATTATAAAGTTTAAAAATATTTCTGATTTTGGCAAGTTTTCCAAGTTTGAGAGATTTTTGTTTAATGAAAAAAAAGACCAAAAAACAACCATATGGTCCAGCTGGACACTTGGGTTGTTTTGATGAATGAAAATGTTGTTGTTGGTGTACGACAATTTCCGTCCAAATCGCAATAGACAACAACAACAATCCGCCCTAGTCAGAATGTCTGGTTAAAAAGTGGCGTGTATGAATATTTGTTGGTGTCTTGCGGATATTTTGGGCGTTCATGTTTAAAATTGAAAAAAGTAAGCAACAAGTTGTTGTGGTTATTACGAATATGATTTTGGGATTGTTGGATATTTACAAACAAAATATATGGCCAAAATAAGAAAAAAATAAAACTAATTAAATATGGCAAAGAGGAGGCCAGACAGTTTGGGATGTAAATCATTATTTGTGATTTTTATTAATTTTTTTTTCTTAATTTTAGTAAATGTCTCCAGATTTGCAAAAAATAAAAATTCTTAGGAAAAACGCTACCAGCTTTTCTTCTTCTTCTTCAATTAACAAGCTTTAAGTATTTTCCCGCAGAAACATTAATTTGATAAAGCGATTTGGTTCTCACTGGTTGGCCAGCCAAACTCTAAATCGTTTCCAAGAATATTCCGCAATTCATTTTGACTTTTATGACGTCTATGTTAAGCCGCCGCCACCAAGCCAACTTGAGCAGCTAGCTAAAAGACTTAATAAGCCGACTGTCTACTAATATGTGGTAGGGGAACTCTTTTCTCCTTCGCTTACAAAATTGTCTTGAGGAAAACAATTAAGTTAGGCAGCCAGGCAGCCAGCCAGGCAAAACAATTAACACAGAGAAGTTGGGAAAAAATGCTTCCCCCAAGGAAGAGGAAAACGACAAGTTGTAAAGAGTTCCGACGACAACGTCTAGAGGGAATTGCGTTTACGATTTTCACACACACACACACGTTCACAAATTACATTTCAATTTTGTTATTGACAACTGTTGAGGAGGAAGAATTCTTTGTAATGAAATAATTAAAAAGGAGAAATAGTTGAACAAAACTATTTACACTCAGAAAAAAAAAAGACAAAACAAAATAAAAAATATAAATAATTAAGTAAATAAATATGTAACAAATAAATAAATACATTAACTAAATATATCAATATCAATAAATAAGACTATATAAAACAATAGGTAGATAAATAAATTATTAAATAAAAATTAAAGAAAAGAAAGAAAGTAAGTAGATAAATTAATTAATAGACGAACAAAAAATAATAAATAAATAAATATTTGAAAATAAATAAACAAAACAAAATAATAATTAAAAAATAAAGCAAGAAATAAATAAAAATAAAAAAATAAAAGAAAAAAATAATAAAATGTCTTCTAAAGAGAGAGGGATTCCTTCTCTTCTCAGAGAGAAAGAGAGAAGTCCTTCAAAAGAACTTCTTTATTCTGAAGAATTTCAAAGACTTTCAAAGAGGTCATCTGAGATCCTATTAAACAGGGGAGCAATTTTAAGTTACTACAAAGAGAGAATCCTTTTAAATACATTCCGCGGAGGAAGTCCTTCAAATTGTACCTTTCTAATGCATCCTGCAGGGAATATATCTTTGAAAGCTACTCTAAAGTCTTCAAAAGAGATTATTTTTGTAGGTCTTCCACTCCTAGAAGATTTTCTTAAGTTATTCTAAAGAGAGAAGGCTTTTTTCCAAGGTCTTCTAATGAGTAACACATTTTAACGGGTTTTCAAAAAAAGTCCGTTTCAAGGGCTTCTAAAAGAGAAAGGCCTCTTGAAGGATTCAAAAAAAAAAAATCTAAAGAGCAACTTTTAGAGCTTTTTTATGAAGAGAGGACCTTTCCAAAGAAGACCTTCTAAAGTTGGACCGGGTAAAAGCGGAGACGCGTGACTTCAATGAGCGTAATTCTCTCCGCACAGAAATTGTCGGAGTAAAAGTCCACTCTGCCCAATTCTATTCCAATGGTCTTCTAAGAAAAGCGAATTTTTAAAGGACGACTTTTAAAAAGAGAAATACTGTCAAAGTTACTTTAAAAAGATAATTCCTTTCTAAGGAGAGAATATCCTTAATAGCACCTTCACAAGACATTTTAAAGATAGAAGATCTTTTGAAGTTATCATAAAGAGGACGACTAAAGAGGGAAGTTCTTCTAACGACCATCAAAAAACAGAATATTTTCCAAAGAGGGAAGTCCTGACGAAGTTGATTAAAACTGGGAATGCCTTTTAAAAGGTCTAAAGAGGAAATATCTTTTATCGTTAGAAGGTCTTTTAATGGTCCTTTCGAGTTATTTTACAACAGAATCTCTTTTTAAAGACTTCTAAAGGAAGAAGACCCTTTGGAACTATTCTAAGGACAAAAAACTTTTAAATGTCTTCCAAAAAATGTACTTTCTGAACTTCTCATAAAGAGAAAATCTTCTATAGGGAGAATATCTTGAAAAGGACCTTTAAAGGACTTCTAAAAATAGAAGATCAATACCTTCAGTATTGTCGAGAGAAGTCGATTTAACGGGCACCTAAAAAGAAAAGGTTCCGCCGAAGATTTTTTAAAGTGAAAATTATGTTTTAAAGACTCTTTTAAAAAAAATCTAAAGAGCAACTTTTAGAGCTTTTTTATGAAGAGAGGACCTTTCCAAAGAAGACCTTCTAAAGTTGGACCGGGTAAAAGCGGAGACGCGTGACTTCAATGAGCGTAATTCTCTCCGCACAGAAATTGTCGGAGTAAAAGTCCACTCTGCCCAATTCTATTCCAATGGT